GTGTGCTTGCCAGGAAACTCCCGTGGCACCAAGTGCATCCTGGTGGTCTTGGGGATAGAGGAGAAGCTGGGAATGAGACTGTATCACCTCTAGTGACAGAGGCCGGGGCTTGCCCACCCTAGCCCCTTCCCTAGGGAAGGAGAGGTCCCCCCATGTTTGAGATTGCCCAGGTGTCTCATAATTTCTGGGACAGGTGGCTAGATGAGCAGTGACTCACCTGCTTGCATTGACTCGCTGCTGTAGGTCCTGGCTGTGAAACATGGGAGACTTTTAGTGAAAAGATGGGTCTGTCTTGGTGCTTGAAATAAAATTTTATAGCCTGACTGGAAAGATAAGGCACAGATATGTTTTTACATGGTTTATTGTGCTACCTGCATACAAAAAAAAAAAATGTAGTGCCTGTCCATGAAATGCTTTGCATGTAGAGGATGATGCACTTTTGGGAGGGAGAAAAGGGATGAATCATTTCTAGCCTGAAAAACAGTATTGATGACCTCTCAGGTTACAGTCCTGCCAGAAGCGTTGCATGACAAACACTGCTACTGTTACTTTCCGTTGGAATTTGATTTAACTTTTGCAGCAGGAATAGTTGCTCAGGTCTACTGTCAACTACAAATATTAAAGCATACAGAGAAGCTTAAAGTGAATAATAGTTATATGGATCTTACTACCTTCCTGGAGTGTAATTTAAATATCTGTCTCTTGAGAGTCTTAAAAAAAAAAAGTTCAATTACCTTGTTCCTATATTTCATTAATTTAACCACCGCTCATTGTAATGGATTCAGTGTTTAAATTACCAAATTACATCAATCCCAGACTAATACTACAGTGGTTGGGCACATGACATGGGCACTCAGGTCCCAAGCTTGCTCTCTGGCTGTACAGCAGAGCAGTGGCTGATCCAGGGCACTGGCTGTAGTTTGCTCTTTAATGTCTCACTGATCAAGTGATAACCGGTGGCATTAGAGCCAGGTTCAAACCACTGGTGACAGCTAATTGCAGGCGATCAGAACACCAGCATTCTGGAGTCCATATATTTTCTTTTTTGGTCTCTTTCTCACTTTTAAAAATGAAAGGTTGATTTGAAGGTGTTCTTGTATTAATAGAATTTTTGATAAGTTTGCATGTTTAGGTAGCTGTTAGATGTAAACTTAACCTGCTAACCTTGACACTGGCTCTTTATGCAGATGCGTGTGCTTTATAGGTGTAAGTCTGTACCTACTTCTGTTACAGCTCGTCACTCACTGTCATGCAAAGCAGATACAAATTCTTGATGACTGTTTTGAGATGGTCCTATTACATGGTCCATGTGGGGGACCATTATATGGTCGGTGGGTCAGCACAGAAAACACTGATGAGAACTAGCTGTCCAGGGAATGGGGTGCAGAGGCTCTGTGCTATTTCCAGCCCCTGAATTGCTGTTTTCTGAAGGAGGAACCATAGGACACAGCACTGCTGGTGCTTGTTTGGGGCTGTCTGGATTGTTTTCTCTACCATTCTCATTAGTACAAGACTTTGATAGAGGTATTAAAACAGTCCCACAAAACTGATCAAATATGTTCTAGTTGTAGGTTTTTTTAGAGAAAAGTTTGATTTCAGAAGTTGTAAGGGATCCACTGACAAGACACATACACCCATTGTGAGCACCAGTACAACAACTAAAGCTGTGCTTTGCCAGCTCCATGAATTGACTGCTTAACTGCTCATCTAGGTTTACCTGGAAATACTTCATATATCTGCATGAGATACAATGTGTTTAATGTGCAGCTGGGAAAAAAACCACTATGGTTTAACAAATGGCATACATTGGTGGTGTGGGGCGCATTACATGAATACAACAGTAACTAATTTTTTAAATAAGGTTTGCATGAATGAGGTAGGACTGAGTTCTGCCAGGTGCTGTATAAGCACAAAAAATCTCTATTTTGAAAAGCTTATGGACAACATCCAAGACAAGAAGCAGCATGCAGGCGTTGAACTGTTCTTTGTCCACAACCCAAGCAACCTGCTTTCTCCTTGTCAATAGTAGCACATCAAAACCAGCAGTTTGTTACAAGGATGCCTGTATTCTGAAATATTCTATTAATTTTGAATTAGCTCATTCACCCTTTCATTTATGAATTAATCCCTTCTAATGCAAGCAAACATCACAGCTGTGGTTGTCCAGGTATTGTTAATCTGAGTCACACAGAGGCTGAGCACACTAAACCTAGGTAATGATCTCAGATGAGGGCAGCTTTGTTTAAGACCAATACTGAACTCCAAGTGTGTGGTTGTTGAACAGTGTAAGTATTACTTCTACAAAACACTTTCTTTTATGTGGATCTTGAGTGCCGAATTCATTATTTAGGGCTTCATGTTGATTTGGAACCCTAAGCTACGATGGAAATAGTTCATGGCAGGTGCTTTGCTTAATTCCTTAATTCACTTTCGGTCAGCATTGTTAGCTTTATCCCCCTATCCCCATCCCTCTTTTTTTTTTTTAATCATTATATTTCTTTTAAGGTAGTGTATTTAATAGCAAAGTGAATAGAAGCTGTGTGCTGATCCCTCCCCTAGTGGTACCTACTTTTAGTTCACAATTTCAAGACTTCTTTGAACTTGGCTATTTCTGACATAAGAACATTAATAGTTTTGCCATGATAACAAGCTGAAAGCTTTTAAGATTAACAAAACAGAGTGGTAAAATGCAACCTTTGTCCTGGGTTCTGTGGTATGCTTTTACTTAATTTTTCTTCTCTGGGATTGTATTGTTAGTATGCTACGGCAAACAGTACTAGGTTTATTTTTCCTGAAATAACACTGGTGCCTACTGCAAACTATAAATCTTCAGGGATCAATGAACAATATTGTGGGTTGGCAAAAATCTCCGACTTTGTATCTTGGCATAGTAAACTTTTTTGAAGTACTTTATTGTAATAAACTGTAAATCTGTTTGAGAGTGTTGGTCAAGCATGTTGGTATGCTGATACTTTTTTTTCCTTTTTTCATCTTCTTTTTTTTTTTTTTTTCCCAGCTCTTCACCTCAAGTCCATTTTTTTTATGAAGCATTCAGGGTGGTGGATTGCTGTTCCCATGCTGCTTGCCTTGTTTTGCTGGCTTGTATCAGTCCAATCTTCATGTGTTCTTTCAGCTCTCACTCTGAACTTGGAAGTGAACATGGACATTTTGGTCTCTTACTTGGCCAGCTAACTACCACTAGTATGACCCATGAGCCCAAGCAGCCTGGACTTTAGGCGGTGCCTGTGCAGCTCATTTTTTTGATGTTGTCGGTCTTTACATCACGAGCTAATTGTGAGAAAGTGAGATCAGAGGAACCACTTCCAACACAGTAGCTATATGCCAGGGAGCTCTTCATAAGGATGGTCTGACAATATCAAATTATAGGGAGCCACGCGGTGTGTTAATCACCACAGTGGAGCTTGTCTCTGACAAATTTGAGGTGGGGAGTCTGTGCGAGTGTTTGTCGTTGGAGGCCAGAGGCAGATCTCCAGCTTGAGATTAGGATATTTTTGTTCTTTTGGGAAAAGTGCAGTGGTTGCGCAGGTGGTGTAAGGAAAAAGCATCAGATGGATTACGGCTGATAACTACATTTATTCCAACACCACCACTCCATAGTTGCATATATGACAGGTATTTTAGGCATTTACATGCTGAAATAAATCCTCATTTGAGTGATGATCTGTAATGAAAATTGATATATATAATGCATTAAAATAGCTAATGATGTTTTTAAGGTTCATGACAGTTGTGGAACTGTTCAGAAATTGATCAGGATCCCATGCTTTAAAAGCAGTTGATCTTTCACATATTTTTGCAAACAATATTGTGGCTTTTAAGTGAAGTCACTTTTATAAAGGAAACTCTCTTCTGCATTTGGAGAATGCTGTATCTCAGAGTAGTAGGAGTGTTTAGAAAAAAATTAAAATAGTAAAAAACCTCAAATGCTGTATTTTTATAGCATTCAAAGTATCCCATCAGGGATGTCAGAGTAAAAAGACTGCTAAGCTGAGTTTAAGTATGTTTTATGGCTTCATTTATGCTGCTACCAATGTAAGCTGTACTTCCTCCCACCCTAACAGTAACGCATGTGGCATTCATTGTCCATCCAGCTGTCAGTATAGAGGTCAGAAAACATCATGACAGTTGTTAAAGGTCTCGGGCTACGTCCTGAAGGCTGTGTGCTCCCGGGGGGGACTTGCGAGGCGCTGTTACAGGTGAGGGGTCTGTGCAGGGAGCCCAAGTTGCTCGTTTCTGATTTGGGCGGCTTCTGCCACACTTGTCCCCCTGCTCTGCACTGCGAAGGTTTGTCACGTTGCCAGCACTGTCACAGGCCCCGTGAGCTGGTGTAACTCTGCTGCGGCCCTGAGCCGGCTTTCCCCGGCATCTGGGCTAACTGGGGGGCAGGAGGGGGGGAAGCAAGGCTCAGTCAGTCAATGACAGCTGCTCCTCCGATTGATGATACAGTATAAAAGCAAAGACACTGTCTCCAAATTTTGATTTTTCTGTGTTGGCTGTAGGAAAGATGCAGAACTCTTTCTATTCTTGTTTTCTTCCTCTAGAGGTGTGTATTTGATGTATTTCTTTGCTAGATATGAGCATCGCTAGGTCACTTGCTTTAATTCCAGTGACTCCGCGGATTTTTTTTTCCACATTTGGAGTCGTGCAGTTTCAGCGGTGTGCACAGCGCCCACTCGTTACTGAGGTAATTTACGAATGAAATCAGTAACGCGTAGAGGCCCTGCTCAGCTCAGTAAAATGAGGGAGCGTTCACTCGTAGCGCGAGGAAAGACGCCAGGAGCGCGGAGCGCCTCCTGCCCTCGCGTCCCCCCCCCCCCCCCCCGCGCCCGTACCGATACCCGCCCCCCCCTCATGCCAGCGGCGGCGCGCGGCCGCCAGGGGGCGCCCAGGCCCCGCGCCGTTGCCGCCGCGCGGGCGCTGTCGCTGTCCGGCAGCGCCCCCTGGCGGCCGCCGCGCTGAAGGCCGCGCTTGCCTTGCAGGTCGCACCGGGCGGTACACGCTGATCGAGAAATGGCGGGACACGGAGAGGCACCTGGCACCGCACGAAAACCCCATCGTGTCGCTGAACAAGTGGGGGCAGTACGCGAGCGACGTGCAGCTGATCCTGCGCCGCACCGGGCCCTCTCTGAGCGAGCGGCCGACCTCGGACAGCGTGGCTCGCATCCCGGAGAGGACTCTGTACCGGCAAAGCTTGCCCCCCCTGGCCAAGCTGAGGCCTCCTGGCGACAAATCCATGAAGAGGAGGGAGCCGAAAAGGAAATCCCTCACCTTCACCGGGGGGGCCAAAGGGTTAATGGACATCTTTGGGAAGAGCAAGGAATCCGAGTTCAAGCAAAAGGTGCTCAACAACTGTAAAACAACAGCGGATGAGTTGAAGAAGCTGATCCACCTCCAGACAGAGAAACTTCAGTGCATTGAGAAGCAGCTGGAGTCCAACGAAGCTGAGATCCGCTACTGGGAACAAAAGTATAACTCCAGCCTGGAAGAAGAAATCCTCAAGCTAGAGCAGAAGATCAAAAGGAACGAAGTGGAGATTGAAGAGGAAGAGTTCTGGGAAAATGAGCTGCAGATCGAACAGGAGAATGAAAAGCAGCTGAAGGAGCAGCTGCAGGAGATGAGGCAGAGGATCCTGGAGTGCGAGAGCAAGCTGAAGGACTACATGTCTCAGATCCACAACATGGAAAGTGGCCTTGAAGCAGAGAAGTTGCAGCGGGAAGTTCAAGAGTCCCAAGTGAATGAAGAAGAGGTCAAGGAAAAGATCGAGAAGGTGAAGGGTGAGATTGATATTCAGGGCCAGCAGAGTCTGAGACTGGAAAATGGCATTAAAGCTGTAGAAAGGTCTTTGGGCCAAGCTACCAAACGGTTACAGGTAAGAATGTCTCTTTTTTTATCTATAGCTAAAGAAAAGTCAAAGACACAGCTGTAACATTTTTCTTACACAGATTTGGAGCCCATGAAAGAAAACATGAGAAAGTTTCCAGTGAATTGGGGTAAAAGGAAGAAAGCATTACTTTCATTTTCAAATTGCATTTCAAATTCCTTTTTTTTTTTTCTTTGAAGAGCAGACAATTTTCATTTCACCCATGTGTATTTTGCTCATTCAAGCCATCTGAAAGGAAAAACAGTAGTTAGTTCTTTGTCTGAAGATAAACCAGCAGATGTTTTGGTGGATGTGTTCCTGGCCATTCAGAAGGCCAAGGTGGCCTGCAGTTAGTGCTGAGTGCCACAACACTTCTCATTTATTTACGTGCCGGCACAGTTCCATTCCCATCAGTTACAGCTTTGGTTTGCTACCATTCCCTGACTGCCTGGTGACCTCTGAGAAATCACTCAAAGCACATCTTCACCGTGCCATGGTCTATGACAGAGAAACACCCGAGCTAGGATCAGCCAGATGAGCTGAGGGCAGTATGTACAGCTGCACCCATGGCAATGCATCTAGCTACCTCGCCCTGCTGAGAGGGAGTGCTCACTAGCTCCAGCAAGGTGCTGCTGTGCTAGTGGGTCTGGGCTCTTTTACACCTCAGGCAAATAATATCTCCTGCATGAACAATAGCACGTTTAGGGCTAGTGAGGGAGGGATTGTTGTACTGCTGGGTGCTCAACGGGACTGTAGTGCTCTCGGCCTAATGCCTTTAAAAGTAATAGTCTTCAAACCCCTGTTGATTTGGGGTTAGATGTCTTGAGAATTTGAGGCCCTGGGTCTCAGCAACTCAGTGCTTCATACTGTTAAATTTTAGGGAAAATTGCACCATCATAGCCTTTTCTGAGGCTAAACTTCTGATTCTTGCTATGTTTGTTTGGCATCAAAATAGATTAATTAAAAAGAACAGTCCAAAAGCAGCACCTGGATAGATGGATGTAGAGCTAAAATAACTGTTAGCTTAAAGGGCTTTTGTTGTACAGAATAGCATCTCTCTTTTCCTGTCTGACTTGCTGGTGTTCAGCATTTTATTTTCTCTACACCTCAGGTGTTTGTGGCACATGTGTCTAAAGAGAATCCAGTCTCTGCTTCCTTGCTAAAGTTAATGATATCACCTGGAACTTGATAGAGCATGAAAGAATAAATATAAATGGAAATCTAGCAGCTAGCTGGATGAGGTGAAGGAAAGATTGGCTCGTGGGATTTTAATGTGCCATGTAAGGTAGGACTGAGGCATCACACATCAGTTTGAGTTGCAATTCTTGCTGTATTGCTGGGATTCACAGTTACTTTGTTCCACAGTGCTGCAGTTGCAGTAAGGTGATTCTGCTGTGAATATGTAAAGGGATTTTGCATCCTTATTCCTGAGCACCTTGAACTTTGTCAGTATAAGCTGTTTTTACTAAATGAGGGGGGAGGGAGGGGAAATGTAATCGTTTCATCCAAAGCAAAATGGATGAAAACTGTAAGCAGCTTTGGCCACACTTATCTATCCTAAATTTCCAGACACACTATGCTTAAGGATTTGGGCTAACAGAAAGCATCAAGTCCTCTCTCTATATTTTACTTATCCTCAGTAACATTCAATGAGGCTATGATTGAGTTAAAAATCTTTCTCACTTTGTTTTTTTCATAGGCTAGGGTTTCACTTTCTCAGGAAAGTTCCTGCTAAATTCAGGTCTTCCAAGCTTGTTCTAAACCTAAGGGTGCGGTAATCTGGAAGTCCAGGAGAAAATAAACTCAGCTCTGCGTTAGACAGTGTTGGGGGGAGGAAAGAGATATATGTTCTTGCATGCTGAAAGTTAAATATTAATATTCATAGAGCTGCAGATTTGAAACTAGAAAAGCTGAGCATGGGTGTTTTATAGACCTTTCAGTAAGGAAGGAAGGAAAATTTTGATTTATTAGATTTCAAGTGATAAAAACAGGAACGTGGCATTTTCTTAGTGGCATGTGAGAATTTTCTAGTAATTTGTCCTACCTGTTCTCTTTCATTCCTTTTTTCTAGCCACCTCAACAACATTACTTTCCAACAATATGAGGCTATGTTTTGTTAAGGATCAGATGCAGCACTCTGTGCTCCCTGTTTCTATAGAAAATTTTTAAATGCAAAAACCCCAAAAGAAAACAAAAACAAAACCCACAGTAAAATCCCACCCATCTTCAGGTAAAAGATCTCACTGAAGTTTCATGATTAGATTCTGAATTTAAGAGCTGAAACCTGAAAGGTTTGGGGTGATACTTAACATTTTTACCTCATTTCCCATTAAAGTTGAGAGATGTCAAGAACAATTTATTTATGATGTTAGTTCTGCTAACCTGCCTATTCCAGTGATTCAGGTTTTTAAAAAAAAACAACTTAATTCTTTTGGGTGGCAACTTTGTTACAGTCTCACAAAATGTCGGGCTGTAGAATTAGCAGTGTAGTAAGTAAAGACAGTTGAGAATTTCCTGTGTCCCAAGTGTCCAGTTGTAGAGTACGATGGGCGCAAAATAAATTAAAGAATTGTTCTGTAGAATTGTCTTAAAATTTGGAGGTGGTCTGGTTTCCATTTCTCAGTCCGGTTTCTCCAAAAGCTTGTAGCCAATGATTGGAAGCACAAGTCTAGCATGGAAAACTGAGACCAACCACAAAATATGCATTGATTGAGCGGGTCAACCGAATACATCAGTGACAGAGCAACTGGCATTTAAAAGGTCCTAATTTGTATTAATTTTCATATCTTTTGAATTCAGTCTCGACTGTGACCTTACTGAAAGTTTAAAGTGAATAAGGGCTGTGCTGTTAAGGACTGTTCCTAGAACAGAACCACAAAACTATTCTCTCCCAATCCTTGTGTGAGTTCACGTATAATTCTGCTTACACAAGATAATTAGAGAAAAAGAGGTTGACCCAAACTCCATCTCTTGCCAAAATGAAGATATAGCACTGCAGAGAAATGCTGACAGATGTGCTGCCTGGCATCCGGGCGGCTGGCCCATCCCCTCTCTGGCCAGATGGGTGAAGCCCGTCCTGGCTGTGGAAGGCACCACACACGGTTGTCTGCTAACAGAGCTGAATCGGGAGCAGGGAGGAATAATTGTAGTCTAAGACTGCTGTAATCTAGTAATCTGTTGAAGCTGTAGGTATTGTATACTGTGCCAGAATTACAGAGCCTTGAGGAAGATCCTAAATTATCATCTGTGCTTGTGAAGGGGTGATGAACCAGCCAGGATTTGGCCTCGTTGTACAAAACACAGTACGCCTGCAGAGTGAGAGAGCTCTGTCCATAAACACTTACACTCTAAATAGAAAAAAAAAAGAACATGAAGAGAAGGGAAGGGAATTTTTCTCCTTTTAGCAACCGAAGGACTAAATGAGCTGTCCAAGTCATGCTGGACACTTCTGGCAGAGCTGGGATTTGGTGCCAGACTGATGCTCAGCTCATGTATTTTTTCAGAGTGCTATTACCTTTATTTGCTCACCTCTTTTGTGCCAAAATTTTTCTCAGGTGATATAAGAAACATCTGCTAGTCATCCTAGAAATAATATAAACAGACCGCTAGTAACCCCTAATAAGTAATAATGAGCGTTGATTCGCTTTCTAAATTAAGAGTGTAAAATACCTTTCAACTCTGCCACTTGCATTTGAATTGAAAAATTGAGGCTTTCTCATCAAAAGGAGAAGCGATAGTTGCCCAATTGCAAACAGAGTCTTGAAATGCTGCTTTATGCTCGCTGCTGCTCAGCAGATGTTTTCTCTTTCCTGTCAGGACAGGGAACAAGAACTGGAGCAATTGACAAAGGAGCTGCGACAGGTCAATCTCCAACAGTTCATCCAGCAAACAGGAACGAAGGTCACGGTGCTGCCAGCAGACCCCGTTGAGGTGGAGGCCCCACATGTGGAGCTCGAGAGAGGTGCAGCGCTCAGAATGCTTGCGGTGGGCGGGAGGAGGGATGGCAAAGCATTTACCTGCTGCATCAGTGCTGGCACTTACACACGAAGGGAATGCTCGGTTAGCAAATAAGTCAGCAAAATATTAAGAACACACGGTGTCAAATATTTCTTTTCATTCCCAGGGTTTAGCAAGCTACAGATAAAGTGCAGTATGTAGATAGCTTACCTCTCGCTGTGCCCAGGCCTGTGCTTGTCCCATCAGTAACACATTAGGCCAGTATTTTTCAAGCGTGGCCACGATGGCTGCAGGCGTGTAAGCTGGCACACAACCTGATGGCACGTCTGACATTGCTGTTCATCTGGGTTCTTCCTCTTCTGAAGGGGTGTGTTGTCAAAGTAGAAAAAGAAATGTGTCTGGATCTCCAGGAAATCCCAGGCAGCAGCTGCGTGGGAATAGGAGTTTATGCCGCTGGGCTGCCAGCCATCCAGAAGTCCTGCACAGATACAGCGTGTGCAGCCTGACTTTGCCCCTGGTGAGATCAGGGCATTCTGCACGTGCCCACCTCTGAATTACCTAGACAGAAACGTGGGAGCGCTTTGAAGGCGTGTCAGAGCTGTGGCACAAGCAGAGGCTCCTTTGCTGTGGCTCAGCCTCTGCTGTGGTGTGCTTTATCCAGCACCCAGCTTGCAAGGGACCTGTTTCTCTCAGCATTCCCCTTAGCTGGTTCTGTCTCTCCTCTTAGAAAACTTTCTAACCAAAAGATATTGGGAGAAAAGACAACCAGGCCTTACGTGTCAGCACTTGTATGAACTTTCTCTTCGAAGTAGGCAGGAAGCTGAAGCTTTGAATTACGTTATAGGTACAAACTCTTTCTACACAATACTGTAAAAATATATTGCATGTATATGGTCCTTGTGGGAGGATAACTACGTTGTGTAGGTATATCTTTCTGTTTTGAAATGAGCAGGAAGTGTGCACCTTAAATCTCATCGCTTCCTAGTCAGGCATTTGTATTTTTTGTTGTATGTGGTATTAGTTTTTCTGTGTCGCACTAAGCGACTGAGCAGGAAGGAGAGGTGTTCTACAGACATCACCCTTGACAATGACTGTTTCTAACCACCCTTTTTCTTGTGCAGAGCCAGCATTTCAGTCTGGGTCACTGAAGCGCCCTGGCTCATCGAGGCAACTCCCCAGTAACCTTCGGATTCTACAGAATCCCCTGTCGTCTGGTTTTAACCCGGAGGGCATTTACGTATGACAGTACATACCTCTTCTGGAGAGGACCTAGCAAGGTACCCTGGACAAGATACACTTTTGTTTTATTCTGCCAATGATGAATGGAAGAAGATTTTGTTTGTTTGTTTCTTTAAGCCACCACATTATTTTTACTTCTTCCTCTAACACACCACTTGGAGCCATACCCTGTGCACTGATGCTGAAGAGACAGAGGAGCTGTCTCGATTCATAATTGGCAAGGATGACCTTGCTGTCAACACAGCTAGAGTGCAAAAACCTTCATTTGTTTTTGCCACTTCAGGAGTGTTTGGGAAAGTATTGTTCCTTGTATAGGCATAAATAAAAGACTGAGGGTGAAGGAAACCATGTATGCAACTTACCTGAGGTTTAATTTATTCCCTTTAATCAATGGACGTGTGAATGTTGACCTTTTATATTTTTATTTTTAATTGTGAATAATCATGTATGGCTGTATGTCAGTCTGAAAAGGTGACTATAAATTGTGTACAAACACCCACCATTTGATCAAGTAGAACAACTTGCAATGCAGAGTTTGGTGGAGTGCTGAACCATTAAAATGGTTTCTCACCACTGACTTTGTTAATTTCTGTTGTAGGTCATAATATGTCATGTTCCATCCATTGCTACCTTTTAAGGCTTGAAAAGTGAGCTTGTGGGATTTACTTGCTGTTGAATCTGCCTTGAATGAAGCACCTAGTGTTCAAAAGATTTATGGAATTTAAACCTTGGCTTGGTAAAAATATTTCCAGCATATGATTGCAGATGCACTAGTTAGATGATATTTTATTATATAGAATGTATATTTGAAATATTTTGCCACATTGTATATGCCTTTTGAGAAAAGAACAGTGTAAGAAGTTGTCTTCATATATCTTACCAAAAGAGAGTAGGAGGCTTTCACTGTGTGTGATTTTGTACTTTATTTTTTCCACTAGCCATTACAGTGTTCTTGTTTTGCAGTAAATCTTGCTGTTGGAGGAGAAAAAACAAACAACCACCAAAAAAACCCAAACCAAAACAAAACAAAACAAAAACAACAAAACAAGTGAGCAATCCTCTTCCAGCCTTCCAGAATTCACTCAAGTTTTGTGGAGGGAAGAAACCTGGCAGTCCCATAAAGTCAACAGCAGAGCATCTCCTGACTTTAGTGGGGCCAGGATTTCGTTCTGGGTCCCCAGTGTTCAGTGGTTAGACGTTTAGCCCCTTTGCAAGACATACTGCTGCTCAGTCACAGAATATAAAGCTTACAAACAGGAAATTCATACATTTGATAGTAATTTTTTTAGAAAACGTGAAAAAAGAACATTATTGTATCTTGATGTCACTGAATGCAGTCAAAGCGAAGCAAGAATTAGACAAAATGACTTCCATGCAGAAAGGAAGATGCTACCAAGTAGCATGTTGGTTACAGGCCTTGAACAGAGAGATTGCTAAAGGGGACACTAAGTTTGTCGAGAGGTGACTGGCCTCAGTGGGACACTGTAGGTTAGGAGGCTGGCCTCGTGGGGGAGTTAGAGGAGGGGTTGGGCCTTACCTACTTGCATTTGGATTTCCTGTTCTAACAGCAACTCATACCAGCATCCACACTTCTGAGATCCCCTTGACGTGAGGGGAGTCACTGTGCTTTCACTGCAGTATTGAATACCTGGACTCCAGTCAGTGGCAAAATGACAGAACTCCTGATGCCTTTGGTAGGGTCAGGATTTTACCACTGGTAGGGAACTCCAAGCTTTTTGCCATATAAAATACTTAAGAATCCTTAACTCCGAGCATCCTCCAGTGTTGATTTACTGATGTGCAGATAAATGTTAATTTAAGTTTGGTTTTTGTTTTTTGTTCTTTTTTTTAAAAGAAGCTTCCTGACAAATGGAAGTTTTGTAAGATACAGTAGAAGATGAAGGACTCTTGAGTGTTTAATGCTTTTTTTTTTTCCCCTTTCCACTTACTAATGGCAACATATATTCTAAAAATGCTGCTGTATTTAGACTAACAGCAACAGATAAGGCTGTGAATATATAAAGGACCTTTCCAAATGGACTCTGAATTTTTACTGTTTAACTTATCAGGTCTTTTTTTTTTTTTTTTTTTTCTATTTCTTTCTTCCCCTTGTGAGCAAACTGGAAAATGAGATGTTCCTACCTGAGGAATCTTTGCAGTGCTCACAGATTTTACTGTTAGCTTATCACAATTCTGTGCTCATGTTTACTGTGCCCATAACTTTGTATTAAAAAAAAAAGAAATAAATGTGTGTATATATATATATATTAAAAAGTGTAAAATATACATAGTTTGGGGACAATATCTGTCCAAGGTACTTGAGCATATATGCCTTACATTCTGGGTTCAATTTACAGAAATAAATGGCCCTCTCCAGTGGATATCTTGCATCTTCAGCACCTCTTGATGTTAGAGAACTGAGGCACTCAGCACCTTGCAAAGTCTGGCCCAAATTATGCTGCATGGGAGTAGGGAGGAAACAAGGAAAAGCCTGTGGCAATTTCAGTCTTGTACTGAGATGAAGTACTTTTAAGGCAGATCAGCATGCTTACCTAGCTAATGTTTTTGTCATACTTTGTGACTGGTCCATCTCCCACAGATGTCAGTTTGAGCTGAATTAGGCTCTTGCACCATAAAAACTGCCCTCTTTCTCTGCCGGGTTATTCTTTAAGATGGAGGGAGGAGAAAAAGGATTAAAAGGAAGAGTAAGAGCAGCTTTGGAGGGCTTAACTTATGGCTTTGTAATAGAATCAAGGAAGAAATTTGCCATTTAAGTTAAAAAATAGCACCTGCTGACTGCAGCAGCTGTTTGACAGAGGGGCCAGCCTGGAGCTGGCTGAGGAGCGGCCACTGCATCACCACAGAGTGGACCCTCCTTGTCAGGGCTTCAGCATATGTCAAGAAGATCTGAAAAATGTTTACAGTTTCAGCCACTGCTGTGGCAAAGGAGAGGCTTTGGTATCCAAACTTGTCATTTGTGAGACACTGACAAATTCCTCTGCCCCCACCATACTCCTCTTGCTTATTGCATTTCACCCAGGCTGAAGTTCTGTAGCATTTTCACCCTCTCTGTAAATAAACCAAAAAAAAAAAAAAAAAAAAAAAGCATGCCCTTGCATTAAATGTGAAATGAACAATGTATTACAGTGATAAAAATTCTTCACACTGGCATTAAGATTTTTGCTTCTGATCAACTGCAGAACCTCACTCTTTCTTTACAAATGTAGAAAAATTCCTTTTCGGAAGTGTTTCAAACCTACTTATGGGGCATTAGCAGAAAGGAAGCTACATTGGCTAATTTTAACAAGTGCCATATTATTTACTGGGCAGCATGATAAAAATGGGTTTTTTTGCTTGCGTTAAATAGTTGAATACACAAGCACTATTTTCCAGTGCATGGGGAATTTATATGGAGGACTCCTGTAATTTATTACTAATGGAAATTAACTGTGTTGCCTCTGTCATCCATGAGGATACAGTTCATTTTTGCTGGTGATGCTATGTTGTTAGGGGAGAGGATGGGGGCTTGACCATTTGAAAAGCCAATAGGTTAAGGCCAAGGTAAACATTCTGAATGCCCGAGCATGGAAGAAACCCAAGTCCCACTGAGAAGTCAGCTAGGAACCTGCCTCCCGTTATCTTTCAGTGGGACTTAGGTTCCCAAGTGCCTGAATTGCTTCTGGGAATGGTATGTTTGCTTTGAGATTACTTCCTTTCTAAACCCGAGCAAGTTGGAAGGAAGTTCTTGAAGAAGAGAGCTACCACTAGCGTTGGCAATGTGCAAACATACTTTCATTGTGAAGTAAGAGAGAAAAGACTGTGTAGTGAAATAAAACTCTCCTCTTGGGGCAATAATTGCCTTGGTTTTAGCGTGAAGAGTATTGCGTTGTTTTAGTGAACTGGGATTGTATGAGCAAAAAAATTCTTACAATTTTTAGTGAGTTATCTTAAAGCATATAAATTCCTGATGTGCATTAACTTGGGTGAATTGGGCCTTAATGATCCATGTAAATAACAAACCTGTATTCAGATATTTTTTTTCTTCCAGAAAATAGTCTCTAATGGTCTGTACTGTATTAAAATAAGTGTCAAAGTGTTACTTTTATATTACACCTTTTTTTTTTTTTAAGGACATTGAAACATGCATGTTTATTCTATTTGCTACAGTATTTTAATGTTTTGGATGAAGGCCATCGGTTGTATGGAGATGACAAAACAATCATTCTGTCTATTTATTCAGTATTGCTGCTTAAAGTTTTCAAAATAAAGCTTTCAATGCCAATATAGTGACTGATTGAAAGCTGTCCTAGCTCTCTTCAGGTGTTTTTTTCCTATGTTTATAGAAAACTAAGTGAAACTTGGTATATAAACTGATATGCCAGCAAAGAATTATTGCAGTAATATTGTGGGGAGGGGTTAGGGGTGAGTGTGTGTAGTATATACATAAAGCTGTGCATGCAGCAAATGCGTTTAGGTCTCAGGTAAATGGAATGCTGAAGAATGTTCAAATCCTGTGTGGTCTTGCAAGCAACTTACACCTGTGATGAAATACTGGCTCGTGCTTCATGCCAGCGTGCAGTGCTTGTGAGGGGCAGAACAAGCAGAGGTGGTCACAAAGGATCATGTTGGAGCCCTTTGAACCAAATGGGAATTAAGCACATTCTTGAGTATTCCCCAGATGTGTTTCTGAATCAGGCCTAAAAGCACGTTCTGATATAAAAATCTTTCAGTTGCAGCAAGGATGCCTTGTTTCGAGTGTAGCTGGTACCTCTGAAAATTTTAGTAGTTCTGAAATGAATCAAGTGTGCCTGCTCTACTTGTAAAGGGTGTTCAAACCGCAGAGAATGTTCACCCTCAGGATCACCCCGTGAAACTACTAACTAGGGGTTCTGACTGGAAGATTTGAGTTGCTGATGCTTTAATCTAGAGAAGCAACACAGACTGTGAAAACATGAGTGAGCGTTTTATTACTGCTCTGCTTCAATGCAAGATGAAAATCTGTATTATATGTAACTATTTTTTGTCATTTAAAAAGCTTCTATTTTTTATTATTCTCATGAATGATTGACAAAAGATATTGGATATGCTCCCATACAATAAATTCCCCGCTGAAACTTTGGGTCTTTACCGTTCATGGTTGGCTGGAATCGCACAGTACATCTTGCACACATCTCACGATACAGCTGCTGGAACTCTGTCAAAGAACACGCTGCCTGAAAGCAGGCCCGGGTAACGCTTGGTGTGTCTAGAGCTCAAACACTTTCAGAAAGGGCCGTGTGTCAAGCATTAGGAAACAATGAACATTCCTAAATGGCAATTCATTTGGAGGTGTGGGACACACAACTGGCTGGTGTGGGGCGGCCTCTATGGCAGACAAGAGAGGTACGCTACCACAAAGTGTTCACATGCTGTGTTTTTACTCAGCTGTAGCCCGAGAACTACAAGAGAATGGAGTGGCTTGTTTTCACCCGAGGAACTGTCACTAAGATTAATATTAAAAGATAGAATTGGTCAGTGACTCAGAGGAAGTGTAACTTAAAGCAAAGAGGGGTTTGTTCAGAGATGACCAGGGAGGGGAATTGAATGTACAGAATCTTCACACGACACATACAAGGTGCACAGATGCTTCAGGGAGCAGGAAGAAATTAACCTTTGAACAAGGAACTGAAGACCTGATTCAGACTCAGTTCTTCTGATGAAGAGCAGAGGGCCTGTGAAGATTGCTTGAGGTCATTTGAGTTAATCAAGGCAGGGAAGTAGCTACAGCTGGGGACTTGTGATTTAAGCCATCCAGCTACAGTCCTTGGTCTAATATCCCAACAAATGGCTTTTCCTAAGCCAACTGGAGCCTAACCTCACCAAATGTGAGGAGAAAGGAGCTAACAGTAGTAGCACGGTTGACTGGCGATAAGATGAAGGACGTCATGAGCTTCACTGAAACCCTAGCAGGACTGCGTAAGTCGTAGAGGACCTCTGCTCCTGGAAGGTGCCCTTTTCTGCTCTGTGCCAGTCAGTTGTCTGGGTTTTGTGGTAACTAAGCCTTCCCAGCACGCTCAGCAGAGACAAGGGTACAGCTACTGGTTCTGCTCTTTTGCTTTGCCTTTAAAGAAGAAAAGTGGTATATCTGTGTGTGACTGCTGCAGCACTAACTAGCTCAGTGTAACTGGACCACTAATAACTTGCCAAACCAGACCAGATCAATGGTCCATTTCATTTAGAAGCTGTACTGAGTTCTTCTGCCTATCATGTCTTTGTCAGCTAGGTGGTATTTCTTCATAATCCCAATTTTTAATGATTGTTTCAACTAAGTTGTCTGAAGTAGGGCACAATGAGCAATGGTCCCCATTAGTCCCTTTCCGGAAAATTTTATATTTGCTACCTTTGGTATTGTAGCTAGTATTAATGAGTATTTTCTAGGTCAGCCACTGCTTCATCATTAACTTTCTCCAGAAATACTGGATGGAGACAATCTCAGCTGGTCTCTTTTGTTCCATTTTTCTAGGTGGGTGTGTGCTGTACTTATTTCCATCCTTTGCAGTGAGTTTCCTGTTCCGTGTGCTGCCAGGTCACCAAACTGCAGGGTTGATTTGTTACACATGAGCTACTGTCCAGTGGGTGACTCAAAAGCAGCCTCTTTGGCCTGTGCTAGTGCAACAAAGGAACTTGGTGCAAACAGAGAGGATAAACTTACCTGAGCGACGTCACCACTTGTCTGGTCGACTCAGACGCTGCCGGTGTCCTCACGCCGCTTCTGGTGGGTCTGTCTGTGTCTCCCCCCGGGCAAGAAACCTCCTCGCTGTCAGCCAGCCAGCCCTGGTGTTCCTCTCCTGTGAATGTGTATTTGCTCTGCACTGAATCCTGGCTAAGACAGACATCCATCCCTTGTGCAAACTAAAGTTTGGTTTCTAGAGGCTTTTCTGATCTGAATCCCTGGCCATGGAAAGGCTGCAGGGATCTCTGGCAGAGTGAATGTCATCACAGTATCATCACACTTTTTTGTTCAGTCACCTAGAAGCTGACGGAGGTGAAATACAGCAGAATGGGTTTTCAGCTGCGAGAACTGGCAGTTGGGTGTTAATCTCCAGTATTTGCTTTGGTCCACACGGGTAAAGTAAAGGAGACTTTGATTTCAGTTTCCAGTCCTCTGAGCCACAGGTATATCAAGGAGAAGCAGAGTTATGAAAACAGTGTGAAGTCAAATCAACAGGACAGATTCCTATACAGTAACACACATTTGGTCTGCAACACTTACAATCTATGTCCCACACCCTTCTCTCATAAGGTAATTTATTAATCACCTACCTATTGGTTTGGTCCCCAGTAGCATGCTTTCATATATACTGTTCCTGCAAAATACAGAATAATGCTATTGTTCAAGCTATAGTTTTCCCTTTCTGTACATCTTTTTTGCATATGCTATTTTCTGCTTGTTTCAGCTAGACACTTTGTTTTGCTTTACAACTCTGCAGAAGGAGGAAGGCAGTAAGTAATTGGAAGACTTAGAGAGAAAATGCAATATAAAAGACCTAATATTCGATCCTGGGTCAAGGTGGAGGGAAGAAAACTTTCCTGCAGTTTCTTTTTAATGAGCAAAAGTTTGAAGAAGAATATTCAGAGGAGCTCCAGTTGGGCTTATGGAAAGTCCGCTTAAAAAAATCTTATCCAGTGAAACACAAAGGAGTGCAAATAATTACCTGCCTAGGTATTTTAAAAGGGAGTGCTTCTGGTTCAAACAAAAACAAACAAAAAAAAAAGGGGGTGGGGGGAGAGGAGGAGGGATGTACATCACAAAATTCCTTTAACCTGAATAGTATTCACCCTGAAGTCCCTTTCACTACCCAGGTGATGGAAAGTGAAAGGAATTATCCAGCTTTAGAGCCACTGATGTGGTGTCACAGGGTACTAGCAGTAGCTGTTGCTAAAATAAAATTCAGGCCAGGCCTTTAAGTGGGGAATAACTGGAATTTCTTCGTTGTTGCCTATGAAGCTTCTCATAAATTACTACCTGTCACAACCTGCAATAGCATATCCTTTTTATTGGGTGTACCAAACTGCTTTTCATTAAATGTTATGTGCTCAGAAAAGATAATTTGACTTTAACAGTCACAATCAACCTGAGGTGAACTTTTGATCAACGAGGTAGAACCGGCCCTTCTGAAAAGCTGAAGAGAAACCCGAGAATACCAGCTGCCCTTTAACTACGCTTTGCTGCTACAAAGTTGTCTTAACTGTTCTCTTGACCTAGCAAATCTGCATCATGGTTTCCAAGACTATGACCTGGATTCTCCATTGTCCTGTAGCTTGTCTCATGTACAAAATGAGTGTTGATCAGACAGTAGTGACATGGCTAAATGAGAAAGGTAACAATGGCCATTCGCTGTGCGGCTGGTGTGAAAGGTTACACTAGATGCAGAGTACCAGATAATCTCGTCCCCTCAACTCTGTCACAACACTGCAATTACAACAAGGTCTACACGAGAGGGCAGCAATACATGCTGGCATGCCTGGAGCAGCATAGCCACGCAGCTAGTTGAAAAACAGATTTTCTAGTCACGTATAGCACGTGATAGGAGCATCACGTAAAATACACAACAGTGCATCTTTAAATATGTTCTTTAAGAAAGGACACAATGATATTTATAAAGAACCATGTCCTAGTCACGGCATGTGTGTAGCTGATGCACAAATTATGCAGTTCCTGTGAGGATGGCTCAGACCTGGTAGCTTTCTGAAACTTATACAGATGTGGGTTGGAACATTCCATTTTAGGGATTATCCTGCACCTGGTGTATTTGCCTGGGACTGGGAAGTTCTTGTTTCATTTCCCAGCTCTGCCACAGATTTCCTGCGTGTGACCTTGGGCAAGCTACTGTAATCCTTCTGGATTGGAGTCCCCCAGCTGTAAGCTTGAGATAATACTGCTTCATCCCCTTTGACTTTGTCTATATATACAGCGAGCCTGGTGGGGAACAGCATCTCGTTTCCTATTTGTTTGGCAAATAGCACTTAGCACAATGTGGTCCTGATCTTGGCCGTGCCATCTAGGTACTACTGCAATGAAGTATATTTTTATATCGTACGAAGAGGATGACAAGAAGTCACTCTGAGTTAGTTGTATCTTGCAGTGAGTGCAAGATGCAGGTGTGCTGAGGGAAGTTGGGGGGTTCTGAAGGTGTATTCTTGTTTAGTTTTAAAGGGATTTCTTTTTCTAACAAGGTGAAAAGGCAAGTAAAGGAATAAAACCTTCACATTTCAGCTTTTGCTCAACTCTATTCTTCTTGC